CATCGTCTGCTGAAGGACAATTTCTACACCAGCATTGGACTAGCCGAGAGATTGACAACAAGAAGGAGCCATCTCGTTGGAACTCTCAGGAGGAACCGAAAAGGAATTTCTAAGGAAATCAAGGAAACGAAGTTGAAGAGAGGCCAACTTTGTTGCAAGCAGAAGAGGAATGGAATTCTCGTGCTCAAATGGAGAGATAAAAGAGGCCTGTATATGATCTCTACGAAACATGACGCAGCGGTGGGAACGTCCCAGAAACCAGAGGTCGTGAATGAGTACATGAAGTGGTACAAGAGGTTTTTTTCCACCTAATTACGCAAACAGCTATTGTGAACGCTTGGAAGCTGTACAAAGAAGTCGTGAAGAATATCAGGCTGAATGACTTCAAACTAGAAGCGGTTGGATCTCTGCTAAATGTTGTTTACACCTGCACTTCGAGTCATCATTCTCAATCCATGCGACATGTGTTGGAGGAGGTGTTCAAAGGTCCAACAGGAAACAACAGGAGGAGATGTGTGGAGTGTTACGCAGCCATGGCCAAAGAGCAAGCATCTGCCATGGCATCGAAAAAACAAAAGGGTCAACACACGTTGCAGTGAATGCAGGATATTCTTTTGCATTGATTGTTTTAATGAAAGAAAAAGTCTTGTCGCGTATAAACGTAATTTCTTGTAGTTATTGTGCCTTGTTACTATAATAATTACTCATTATTAATTCGATGATTTACATGTTTACTTTGAAAAAAAAGTCAAAGTTCTGTTTTAAATGAATCTTTCACAAGGTTTGGAAAATCTTTGCTGGAATTAACCATATTTGCTCCCATCATGGACCACGTTGTTTGTAGAAGACTTAATGTTTGCCTATTGAATAAAGACAAAAAATTCCAAAAACGCGCGATCTCGCAAAAAAGGAGTGGTGTCAAAACGTTGACGCGCATGCGCGTCACTCAGTCCCTAGCGGTCTGCAAGGCCTGTCGCGCATGTGCGTCAAGGTGTCGTCAATGGGTAAAAAGGGGATTGGATTTAATGGTTTAAACTGGACCATGTGGAAAATAAAGTGCAATTACCGAATCAGCATGAGGAAACTCAGTTGGGTATGTGGACGAACGTGCGTCCGAAGATCCGCGCGGCAAATTGCGTGGCGAAGTTCGTAAGTATTTGGAAGACTTTGGCGCCTATCATTGAGGCCCAAATTCGAAGTAGAATAGATTAGAAGGATCATCTGACCCTACTAAACTACTCTATTTAGAGTTTGTGCCCCGAAAATTGGCATCAGGGTCATACAAATCGTCACGATCTTCGCCGCGCAGGTTGCCGCGCGCGTTCTCGGACGCAGGTGGTGCATGTCCCCCAGAAAGGTTATATGCAAACTTCTCACAAGAAGCTCTTCGAAGTCAGCTAATCCCTCGATCCCCACAAGGCGATTGATCGCTTCCAATCCCATCAACAACTTAGACTGATACAGTCGATTTTTACGTGATCATTATGAAGGATTTGGTGACCAAATGCTGACTACAAATATATAAACCATTTCTGATATCGTTTCCCCTGAAGGTAGTAGTACGGTGACTGTTTTGTAAGTGAGCTGTTTGAAAAACCATATACCGAAATCAACATAGGGGTTCCAACTAAAAGATTTGTAGGCCGCTCTAGTCTTTTTATGTTTTTTTTTTTACTTTTTGTAAGCCATTTTATAAGCTTCATTGGAAGATTTATGTGTATTAAGGCATGATCTCATAAGGGAATTGTTTTCAAAACGACTAGGTTTGAAGAGGAGGGATGGAACAACCACTTTCCATATGGCCAATTGAGGGCCAAGTGCATTTTGGGAATTATTCGAAAGAAGTTCCTTCTTAAATATATATAATACTATGAGCAACTTTATGGAAACCTTCAAAAAAAACCATGCCCTTCAATTTGTTTGCCTCTTTGTCAGTCTTGAGTCTCTTCAGAAGAGGCTGACGAAACATTTCAGAATGGCTCGTTTTTTGGACAAAGAAGTAAATATCATATGTGAATGATTGACATGGAGCTACAATTTTGAAGACTTTGGCCGATAAAAGACTGCTTCCTACTTCAATTCTTTGAAAAAAATTCTCAATGTCGTTCAATCGGTAATGGAAGGAGGGTGTTATTTTGGTTTTTACAAATCGAATTCATTCGCTCAGACATTTCCAAGTTTAAAAGATGGTAGGCAACGGAGTGGTAACTGGCGTTTACAGTTTGACTTGACAAGGAAATCAGTTACGGCTGATTGCAGGCCTTTCAGATTCCTCAAGAGCCAACAGGTCAAGTCTTTTGATGGTCTACTAAAGGGCAGTGTAGAAGATGTATTGGTAAGGTAGAGGGGGATACCTCACAAGGATAGCAACCCCTCGGCGGAGTGGGATCGCCTTTGTGAAAAAAGAAAACTGTAAATAGTCAAGTAACAACTCATTTTTAGGCCTAATTTTTTTCCATGCATAGAATGTATAGTCACCCTAATTTCCTTTTACTCTTCCTCACCAACAAAGCAGTTTTTACACAATCTGTGAAAAATGTAGGTTTTTAGGCAACTGAAGGAGATTGCTTGCTTTGCTTACTTTCCTCGATGTATTTCATTTAATCTAGTAGTTCAGAAATGTCACTGAAACACTTAAAAAATATGCGGGAATGGGATAGAGCTACTCGGATCTCACGAGCTTCTTGTTGTTTCATTCTTCGGGTAACTCAGAATATACCGCATGGTTTACGTTTCACCAACAAAGAGGTTCACCTGAGATTTTAGCAGCTTTCCCGAGCGGTCCTACCCAACGCTGCCGTATTGGGGGCTCCATCAGGTTCAGGGAAATGGGGCCCATTTCTATTACTGTTTTTGGCGCGTAGATACTCAACGTGCAGCTTGCCAGGCTCTGACGTGGGGGCTAGGTTGACTCCGGGGGCTTGCCAGGTTATTCCAAAGCGGACGGGGGGCTTTGTTTTTGGAGGCGGCCCCGAATCACCTTCCAGATACTTCCCAGTCACTCGAATGCAAGCTTTTGACCGAGTCGATGGGCAGGATACCAACTGCACCCACAGACTCTCCATACACATATGCGTGGATCGCCTGTGAGGAACAGAGGGTCTATGGACCCAGCACAGCAGAATCAAGGAGTCCATCCCCTTAATCTACCTGCGTCTCTGGGCATATACCGGTGACTTTCGATCGGCGATTAATCCCAGTATCCGCCACCTGGGGACGTCCACGTAGCCTCGTCACTAACCAGCTGGGGATCCTTCAATGAGAGATAACTCACAGTGAAGGAGATCCGTAAAACAAAGAGGTTAGTCGAGAGTAAATGTGGTACCCAAAGGTTTTTGTAAATTTTCCTCAAAGTACTACTAACAGCGAAATCAATTCGAATTGCCTTTATTGACAACAAAAACCATCAGCCAATTCGGATTACACTCAATCACAGGTAGATTACACTGTCCATACCGTCATACATTAGAACATGTCGATCCATTGATTCAAGTGATAACAAGGCGATATATATATGTATTAACTACATGGTAATGATTACTATAGGAGGTTGCAACTAGTAGAAAAGTGATGTTTACAAATACAAACCATTGCACAGCAACAGTATCCAACCAGTCTAACAGCACGATTCAGCCAAGATCAGTGGAATATTAGCAACAAAAATGGAATCAGTAACAAAGAGAAAGAGAAAGCTTGTACTGATACTGATTTCTTTTCTTCTTTTTCTTTTTCGTCTTTCTTTTTGTTGTCACCACCACCACCTCCACCGGTGTTATCATCATCGATTTTATCGACCCAATCCGCTATGAACAGATTCAACGAAGCCCCTTTCGTACGATTACGGCTAGAACCCCATACTAATTTATTTCCAGCACGATTGAACATTGGGAATGCGTTGAACTGGTATCCTTCACCGAAAGTTACCTGTAACATCAATGAAGTTGCTTCCAGACAATACCAATTTTTAGACATCAAAATCGATAAATACAGAAAAATTTAATTTGAATGGAGAAATTTTCTAGTAAGCCTGTCTAGGTCTAATATGAAGAGCCATCAGCAACTGAGTAGACTCTTGTAATTATACCATCATACCAGTAATCTGGGGGCGACGGCTTTGTTGAGAGCCAAGTGACGCACTATCACACACATTTATGGTCTGAGGATCGAGTCGCGGATCGATACCAGCCCCGCCCTACCAAACCTTCCATCTCTGCCTCAATGGGACTTCCAGGAGGATAAAGGGGCTGATTGTACATTGATCACTGCAAGTCATTGCAGGGGCCAAATACACAGTCAAAACTTTGCTACCATTTTGAATAAAAATCGAATGCGGGGGCGCATCCCACAGATGGGATTGAATTTGGAATTGACATCAAAATACTTGAACTTCAGCTTGAATCTCAGGATCCAGGGGCTGGTTTCCTAGGACCAATGGTTAAACCGGAGTAATATGGGCTTATCGATTAGAATGATTGCAATTCTTTGATTCGATAAGCCCATATTACTCCGGCTTAACCATTGGTCCTAGGAAACCAGCCCCTGGAACCTGAGATTCAAGCTGAAGTTCAAGTATTTCGATGTTAATTCCTTGACACTTGGCTCAGTTTGATAGATGCTTTTCAAAACTGAATTTTGCGACTTCTTATCAGTAAGCTGACAGACATCAACTGAGAGCTTCGCAAAGGACTTGAATAAAAAGCAGCAGAAAGAAACGGGACGGGGAACTTACACGTTCCAGCCCGGTGCCGTCCTCGTTAATGACGTACAGAGCGAACGAACCGAATTGTTTCGCACTCATGTTGTAGTTAGAGCTGTAAAACAGGATCTTTGGCGTCGAGTTTCCTTTTGAACTTCCTTATTCTTACTGAGCAAACTATTATAAATGAGGTCAGGGAATGTCAAGCACTTCTGTAAAATTTGAGTCAACCTGGAAGAATTAAAGAGGAAGGTAGTTTTGAACGTTTTGTGGACGAGTTTTTGGAATTTTTCGTAATTCTCACAAATATGACCCTTTCCTAACCAATAGCAAAGGCCCTTGGTAATCAAAAAGATTAGGTTTTTGTTTTGCTGTAAACAACAAACAGATAAACACAGTTATTCGGAATTTCCCAATCTAAATAAAATGTTAACGTCGTAATTACCGTACCTGAAAATAATCCTTTTGTTGTCGGGCAGATAGTAGGGTGCCCAACTGGCAACACCAAAGTTGGTAACCTGTTTCAAATTTTTTCCATCGACATCCACCACATATATCTCCGTCAGTGTTGGCTCCACCAGACCGTAATCAAGCAGTTTCTGGAAAAATTCATTTTGACGATAGCAGTATCCCTAAGGCGTGGGCGGATCGTTTTCGGTCCATCTTTGGATCGAATGAGGACCCTTATCAGTGTCGTACGAGGTCACCTCCTAAACCTTCATCTGAAAGGCGACTTCAGCCTTCATGAGACTCTTGAACACCTCTTCATACCTGATATTTCTCCTTTTCTGCCTTGGTTTTTGGCCGACTTGCACGGAACACAAGACGTTTCCCATCGGGTGAGAAGAAACATCCACCGTCGTAGCCATATTCGTTTGTAACCTAGATTGTGTTCCTTGGTCATCTACAGTCTTTTTAGGTGCTATATCGAGACTGACCTGTCTGACATTCGTACCATCCGTATTCATCGTAAATAGCTCGAGATCTCCGTTACGGATTGATGTGAATGCGATGGTCTTTCCATCAGGGCTCAGCACCGCTTCAGCATTGTATCCAGCTTCGTCAGTCAATTGTTTAATGATATTACCGTACTTGTTCACCTAATTATGTAAAAATAGAACGCTGCACAAATCAGAAAAAATGGTGCTTACCATAAAGATATCGAAAGTGGGATAGATGTCCCAGGTGTAGACGGTGTTACAGAGCTCTTTAAGGACAGGATCTTTAATGGCTTTACGATTTTCACACTTCTTTGCCGGGCATGTGTGTGTTATAATAGTATCACGAACTGTGTCGTTCAGCTGAAGGCATCTAGAGTTTACTGGGGAACGACAGAAAAGTTGTAACCAATGAAAAAAGCTCAGACCGCCCAAAAATCTCCAGCATAAAGCCGACGGTTATTGTCGGGGTCGTTGAAGAAAAACGAACAAGTGGTACCGCCCAAACCAGTACTCATCCTCTTCATTATCTGCTTTCTGGGATCAACATTGAGATCAAGTTCGTAAATCTGAATATTGTGGCAATCAGAATTTGGTCGAATTCAAATTGGAGCGGTTAAAAAAATCACCTGATCGCAGGTAGTTCCGTAGCCAGTCGCTTGAAGAATGATTTTCGAGTCGTCGTAACTAAAATAGTAATTGAGTCATAAGTAGCTGCAGCTTCAGAGATCATAAATAGGGCATGTACTTCTTCTTTAATTATTTATTTGTTCAATCGATATCATTCACAAATCTCTTTGACTCTCTCTTATTGCTGTTTCAATCAGTTCATACTTTCAGTCGCCCTGTAGACACATCCATATATGCGTGGGGTGCATCTNTGGGAGTGGGTTTGAGTCCTACATGGCCGGAAATCTGCCTCAGAGGGACTGAGAACTAAGAGACAACCAATTCGGATCCATTTTCGATGAAAGAAATCACTTTCACTTGTCGACTTTATGATAGCATAGCTAACTGGAGTGCACTCAACTTACATGTTAGAGGCCGGGAAACTGGGAAAGTTTTTTCAGGGAAGATCATAACTTCTCCAAGGTTACTATCTGCGATTTCATCACCGGGAATGGCTGTAAGATTACACATTCACGACATGGGCTGAGCAGATGGGAGATTGAGTTCATCACGTCAATCCACATCAAGAGTGATCAAGAGCTTCAGAAGCAACACGATCCATTCGGAAGTTATCTGACGAATAGTCCACAATGAAATAAACAGCATAACTGTTGATTGAAGGTTGAAACTGCAATGTTCTATACAGGATCATATTCAAGTCCCTATTCCATCAATAAAAATATTATCGGAATGTAGAAGACACTTTTTATTGCCCCTTTTCCTTTATTGAACAGGTTCGGGTGCCGATCACACCACCACAGGCCACATCTGCATACCCACAGCGTCGCCTTCACTGACTTCGGCACCATTTCAGTTCAATTTACTTCCCTCGAAAGCCACAATTCGTTCCACTAAAGGGAAGACTTCACCTTATAACAGTACAGCAGGAAGAAATGGAAGCCACTGGCTACAAAGAACCAAAAAGTTGGAAAAAACTTGTGTGATCCCATTGACTACGAACCTTTTATGAGCTTTCATTCCGATGAGCTAGGGCTTGGCAAGGTCGGTACGGAGAGAATAAGAATGTGAATGTTTAATATCTAATGGGGTTTCCTTTACTCCATCACAGAAAAGCTCTTAGAAGGACCGTGAACTACCTGAAGTATCCCTCGGCGTTCTGTCCACGGAAAGTCAGCTGTTTAACGTTCTTCAAACGTCGTTCTCCCGTGTAATGAACTATGTTATCATAAGGAGTGGTCTCCTTATCCTGCCAACGCATCGCATTCTTCTGAAAAGTGGACGAATTAGGACAATAAGGACTTGGTAATGTTAGACTGTTAGGAAATCGAAATGATCACAAACCTGAGTTGCCTTTTTCGGAATACGATTTGTTCGCAATTCCTCCTTTGCATCGCTTTCATCATCGGTATCTCTCCCAGGGTCTACCTTGAAAGGAAATGGGAATTAGGGCTGATTTATCGTGACCAAAAAATTTTTTGAATCCTCCAACATCAATCCTTTCATTTTAGATTGCTCTTCGCAAGTGATTTCTGCTTCTAGACGAACCTTTTCCCGTTCGTGCCTCCTCTCTGAGCAAGAGCATCCTATTTATCACCTTACCTATCCGAGCTTTTTGCACGGGGATCACATTTAATCTCCCCTTGGTTCCTCTCCTTCTGAGGCACAGGCGAAAACCACAATATGGCCAAGAATCGTTTCCGATTGTGAGCATCACCAAACGCCCCCAATGCCGGCATCCCACTCCCTCGCTATAGCCTTTGATGTCAGAAGCACAGACCGCAGTAGAATTACCCATTTGACTAAATTTTTTTGGTAAAAGCTTTATCAACATGAAAGAGCGACTCCCATCCAAACAATAGTCTCGTCTCAGGGCTCGGCCCTGTCCGTATGACATCACGTGGAAATGTAGGGTGGGGGGAGCCGCTTTTTATCAGAATTCAGTGTTAGAGACGGGACGAAAAGGACCAGGGTAGACGACTTCGCGAGCCCATAATGATGCCTGAAGAACGTTCCTCAGTGAAGATATACTGTTTGTTGAAGTGAGCCTCAGGAGGTAGAGAGCGCTGGGGTGGGTGAGCCAATTGAACGTCCATATCCTACCTGATCCCAGCTATTGCACCCACACTCCTGTGCTACTTCATTAGAAAGGTCTAGGTAAAAACTATGTTCTTTTAGCGCTCAGTGCTGGAAAAAAAGCGGTGCCAAGGGGCCAAGGGCTTCGTACTCTGCGGGCTAAAGGCTCTGCACTACCTTCGTCTACTTATTTAATGCTATTCAGAATTACCGAAATTGCTAATGGTAACCAACCCAGTCAGCGATAAACAGATTAAGATCCCCTTCTTTTGTAGAACCTCGATTCGATGACCAGACGACTTTCTTGCCGTCATGCGAGAACACAGGGAATGCGTTGAAATATCCATTGCCGAAGGTCACCTGAAATCAATTTTTCTTCTAAGAGGAAATAGGTGCGAATTGAAAGAGTTGAAAGGTACCCGCTCGAGTCCAGTGCCATCTTCGTTGACTATATAGAGGTGGTATTCATTCGGCTTCGCCGAATTCATATTAGAGCTGAAAGTAAGTTTAAGGTAAGCATCTCTCATCGTGCAACAGATCTTCTCTACCAACCTGAAAATGATCCTTTTATTATCTGGATGATAATAAGGGGTCCAGTCGAGACCACCACGTGGTTGCTTGAAGAGAGGTTTTTCGTCATCGCCTTTTCGTTTTTCGTCGTCGCCTTTTCCACATACCGTGTTCGCTTCCATCACGTACAGCTCCATCTTGCTAGTAGCCACCAGATCGTTTCTTTAAACGTTCGAAACTTGGAGACCGTCTGATCAGGTAGCAAGTATAAAAAAACGAAAAGAAAACAGACTTCAGTAGGCGGTCGTATATGACGATTTCCTCGTTTGTCTTCGGACGAGTTGCATGGAAAACGATTTTCTTGCCATCTGGTGAGAAGGAAGCGCCACCGTCATAGCCTTTCGTCTTTGTCAGCTGAAAAACACCCCATGAAATTGTCCTCGAAGAACCTCCCTCTATGGTAAGACACAATCTGTTTTCTCTTGACTGTAGCTTTTGAAAGAAAACCAGAACAAGCTAGTAACCATACATACAAGTGTAATAACTGCATTCTGCTACCAGGTTCAACCAAATTTCAAGCTCTATTCCTCAAAGACGTTCTCACTTCTAGTTCTTGTGTAAATTATACCTGTATTTTTAGTGCTCCATTAATATCCGTGATCCAGAGATCCAAATCACCACTCTGTTTGCTGGTGTAAACTATTTTTTTGCCATCCGGACTAATGAAGGCTTCCGAATCGTAGACGTCATTTTTGGTAATTTGATCGAGGACATTACCATATTCATTCACCTGTACGAATATTGAAGCATTTCTTTGAACAAAGAACCATAATGTTCGTACACCCACCTTGAAAATATCGTAGTTCGGGAAGACATCCCATACGTGACCAGACTGGCCTGAAAATGGTATGGTCCCTCACCAAACATGCCAACAGCTCGTAATTTACTCTGCTTTTTTTCTAGCTAGTGCATCCTTCTCAAGAAACTGGTCTCTACCTTCCAGTTCTATAGAGAGACTATTTTCTGGAAATAGAAAAGAACATAATAATGAATATGAAAACTAACACATTCTTCTAAGTGTCTCGTCTCTCTGAACTTCCGATGAATTGCATTTTTTCGGCGTGCAGCTGTTGTCATCCGTTAATTTTTTAGCGTAGACCCTTGTCTAGAAAACAAATTTTACCAGTAAACTATACTGAAGAGTTGTTAGCTGACAGCAAATTCATGGAGCAAAAACACAGTTGCAGGGTGAGCGGCTACCGTAAAATATGATCAAAATGGGTTAAACTAAGTGTGGTCGGAAATGTGTAATGCCTAGACCCTGCTATTGAAGAGTGGCAATCACTCAAGTTCCAGTATAGTTTCTACAGCTAAGCTGCAACTTATTCAATACAACACCCCTATTTTGGGGTCTCCTGGAAACTGAAGCGGTTGAAATGAAAAAAAGCCAAAAGCCCACTTTGTGGAAATTTCCAGAGTAAAGAATGTCCACGCTGTTTGGATAGAAGAATGAGGCAGCAGATGTACCGATTCCTGTGCTGATCTTGGCCAACGTCTCAACTGGCCGGCTCAGTTCTAGGCGATAGATCTGGAAAGGAAAGTATCCCAGAGAAATGGCTGCAAATCGTTCGAAATTAAGAAGCTTCTATGTTCTTCCCATTTAAGCTAACTGTCAAAATGTCTCAAGTCTGTCAGTCAAGTAATCAAGAGCAAATTTGTTACAGGAACTTGTCAAGAGCAAAGTATAAGATGACGTTGTTGGCAGTGATCCCACAGTATCTTTGACCTATTCCCTTCCTCCTTTTGGCTTTTTTTCCCAAATAATGAAAGACTCTTCTAGATATCCACCACGACCCCGAAATAATGAACTAACCAAGGCAATGCAGATTTGACCATTCCTCTTTTCTCTGTAAACTCGACCTCAAAGCCTGACACTCCTTTCTTCTAGTCTTATATTCTGACAACGTCAAGCTCTAGCGGGGATCATTCCTTCTCCCGAGACAATCGACGATAATTTTAGGTGATTTCAATCAGTATCTCTTGATATTATTGGTTATTGAATAGCATCGGTAGGTATCACAATGGGTTGTCGTCTCAAGCTCCTCAACATATGCCCATTAGGCGTGGCGACGCTAGGTAACCCCAAACCCCGAGACTCTTGGTGAACCTTCGAATGAAAACAGTCAAACACATGGTCGGTCTTGAAATTCTTCAGATGTTGGAAATTTAATTTAGTAGGCCAAATCGGTCGTGCTTTTTTGAAAACCTAGATTGTATCTCACCTGTTCGCANCATCGAAGAAATCCTATACAGAACTTTTCACTTACTTGAAATATGCTTCAGTATTTCTATGCTCAAATGTTAGCTGCCGAACATTTTTGAGATGTGTTTCACCAGAAAAGTGCAATTCACCGCTGCCCGTACAGCAACCCGTCAACAGTGGCAAGATCGCTAACCAGTACCTCATCTGGAAAAGTTGGACTAACAGTAGAAAGGTTTCGAGCGGTATGAAAGTGGTCAACAATACTCAATTAGTTACTAAGACGATTACCAGCGGTTGGTAACTGAAGTGACAACAAGATGAAATACTTCTTATCTCAGAGGCTATAAACGCATTCCTAATTGCTGCATCGGGACATTAAAAATGACTGAAAGATAGTTTTTCTAGAGCACAATCACGAGTGCTGTGATTTGAAGCTAACTTGATACGTGTTCTTATACAGTAGGCGTACCGTACTTTGGCATTGGAGTCGTCTGATGATTCACAGTTGCTGTGGGGTTTTGAGTTATGTAAATACGCCATTTAGGCAATAAAATAAAATTAGTCATACAACTGTTAATCGGGAATGAGTATTCTTAAGAAATGGATGAGCCACTTGAGCATCTCGCCATGCCTTCATTCCCATTTCTGCCTTACAATCGATTGCTCAATCGTTCTGTCTTAATCTGACCCTCCTGTCTTCCTTGAAGCTTTTTTACTCGCGCTATCCCTTCCACTTCCTTTTTCCCTTTTCCTAGTGGAACTGTTTTTTGGAGCGGGGGTATTCGCTGTATCACCAGCTGTTCATTACAGAGATAGTCTTTTGAGGAGAAGACAAGAAGCAAAGGTGGATTAGTTCTATAAGAAACTCAAATGGGAAACTAAATCGGCTTCAAGAGTACAGCCCTAGAAAAATGAGGAGATTAGCTGTTTCTTTCGATTTACACAGATAACACCGTAAGGGCGGTGGCAGTGCTTCCACCATGGGAAGATGATCGACCATATTAACCACACCCTCCATCCCTCTGGGGTCAATTAATGACTATCAGACCCGTTCAGGAGGGTAAAAGTACCGACTTCAACGTCTGCTGGCCACAGCAAGACATTGTATAGGCCACACACGCACTCGAAACGTTTCTTTGAATTAAACTTGAATGTGACACCATCCCTCCTTTCCACTTTTACTTGCTTTAGCCTCAATAGGGAACATGAACAGGTACATAGGAACTTTTATGGGACGTGCTACTTTTAGTAGGATACCGAATTAACTACAATGTGTAATGTTTGCATTGTGTAAAGTGATAGTATTCTTAGGAGGGGCCCGGTGAAGAAGCTGATTGAAAAAGACCGATTAGCGCGATTTGCACGAGGTGTTCGGCAGCAAGAGCGCATACTTTTTCCGGACGTTTTTAGCTGACCGTCTTTTTCCCAGTCTTTTCTTTCATCAAGTTCCATCAATAGCAAAAAGCGGGAACTTTCTGAAAAACCACAGAAATGAAAAACACGGCAGTGATTGGGGAGTGAGTCAGATGATTTGCGCGACGTTCGCCATATTCGCCTAGTCCAACAACAAAAACTTCAAAAGATTGCTGAAAAACGCAGTGGCGGCTGAACATGATTCCAGCCGATCGACTTTGTGAGGCAACTAACAAAGATTCGCCTACGCGTTCGCGCGACTCGCCGCGAACTCGAGTCCCCTAAGTCTAACCGCTAAAGATCCCTTGCCCTGTGATTGGCTATGTCCACTGAGTTCATTCATTAGAAGAAGGGACACAAATCACAAATCACAAGAGCTCAAAAGTGACCTATAAATTGGTGGTATATCAACCATACTGATTGGATCACAAGAGTTCCGTGTCATGGTTTTTCCCACCTATTCCTGTATATTATTCGCTTATCATAGGTTTTTTCTCTGTTCAGACCACAAGGCCAGAGATATCAAAGCAGAAGTCACAATCGTAAAAGGAAAACGCTAAAACCAAAGACATGCATGTGATATAACCAGCTTTTTTTGGATAATAACGCTATCGAGACCATGGAAACGGCTTCAACACAACAGCCCAGGTAGGTTGGCTTCACAATTGTGCTTCACACTTTTGTCAGCCTAAGCCCACCATATTTGGGAAGTTTTGCTTGTCAGAATCGACCAAGTTATCAGCTTATTTATCAGTCTTTTGATCCGATTTGCATCGATTAGCCTTAGTAACTCAACGCATGAAAACGATTCCCGGTCAAATGGTTCTGTAAACTGGAAAGGATTTGGGCATGGGGCGCATTCCGAAGATCACGCCCACTAAGCATCATACCATTCAACAACATATCATAATCTGCATTATCTGGGGAATTCAGACTTTTCAGGGGATTCAAGGGACTTTTGCGGTCCAGAAATCAAGAAATCAATCCAGCCCACAGACCACGCTGATGTGAAGATTGAAGGCAAACCAGTTTTCAAGTTTGAATAATAATAAGTTCGTATATAAGAGGAACTTGTGATCCTGATTCCAATTAGGTGATTGTTTTTTGAACGATCAGTTTAAAAAGATCAAGCGCTATAACATTTTCAAATCGAGTAACATCCTACTTACTATAAAGCGCTTCGTCTGCCGTTCTGTCTGTATGACTGATACAGAATTCCTTAGCTCCTTTAGATCTGCCTGTAGAAAACGGGTCAAGCGTGGGAAGGGTGGGCCATGTCCCGAGGAGTATAACGGACACAACAACTTGGCGGAGCCCCGCCCACAGTGGGCTTGGCGTGCATCGAAATGAACTGTACTGAGGACCATGATTTCAAATTCAGTCTCAAGACGGCTTTAAAACCCGGCTGTAAAGGTGGTTAGAGGTGTGCATTGGTAAGTTAGATCGAACGAGGGCGACCCACCCCCGAGCGTGGGATGGGTGGGCGGAGCGTTCTCCAAAAATGCAGTGCTTTATGAAAACATTTTGGAAAATCATAACTCCTGTCCCCGTCGACCTAGAAAGTTCAAAGTTGGAAGGAGTACAGGCGGCAAGATGGGAACACTCATGGTGGGTGATAGAAACGGACTCCGCTCACATGGGCGGGGTTTGTGTGAATAACTTAAATTTGGGTTTAGAGCGTTCAAATTTGGTAGGAGTGCAGGCGGCACGATGAGAACACTTATGCTGGGCGGCAGGACCGCGCTCCGCTCTTAAGGGGGAGGGGGTTGAGCGAAATAAGTGTCCGACCGGAAAATCATAGCTCCTGTTCCGGTGGACCTAGAACGCTCAAATTTGATGGGTGGTGCAGGACATTTTAAGGGGAACTGGTAAAAAGTGAACTGCATAGATGTAATAAGCATGTAAAACTTTATATAGGAATATGTGAATTGCAGAAAAACGTTTCACAAAAATTTCTTTCGAATTCTTTGCCGATCCCTCGCTTTCGACTAGGCGATTGCTCCTCTTCGATCCCGCTAATCCCTGAGATGAAAGCGATCGATCGCATCTGCCACTTTGGAAAAGATCTGAAGATTAAGTGCAAACCCATTTT